TTGCGGCATGGCCATCCCCCCTGGGGGGTGATTTCTCGCTTTCTGTCTCTCTGTCTCTGTCTGCCTGGTGAGCGCATGCGCCCTATAGCAAAAACATCTTAAAAAAAAAAGGACAATGGGAAGATATGGGACCTGGGCTCTGCATACCTTTTTTTTTTTTTTTAAAGATTATTTTATTAACTTTATTTCAATTTGACCAGAGAGAGGGAGGGGGAGAGAGAGAGAAAACGAGAAGGCAAGCTGACAGGTCTGGGACTTGAATCACAGTAGCCCATGTGGGAGTCCAGCACCCCCAACCATCACGTCACCTGCTGGCCCCCGTATTTTTAACCTGACTAGCAATTTGAAAAAGGCATCTTTATCTCTCTATTACAAACTTAGTGAGGCTTACAGGTTGCAGTAGACTGGAGTGATCTCTTAAGTATCCCAGTGGCTATAGTGGTATGATTTGTTGTTTGTTTCTAATGTGTTTATCTTAGATCTAAATATTTGTTAAGGGTTTCAGAACATTTAAACTTTTTTTTTTTTTTAAGTTTTTTGACATAGGGCATGTGCACTTGCACAAAGACAGTGAGACAAAAAGTAGAAATCACTCCCAGAGGAGATTGCCATGCTACAATCCCTTCTCCATTTTCCTCCTGGGATTTTGGGCACACAGGCATATGTGCCTGGTGTGATTTTCAAGCCACCAGGTCTGGGACCCAAACCACGGTTGTCACGGGGTGGGGGTGGGGGTCCAGCATCTTAAGTACTACGCCACCTGCTGGACCCAAAACACTTAAAATTTTTTTTTTTTTAAGAAGTTTTTGCCTTGGAATGCATGTGCTTACCTGAGAGACAGACACAGTGAGAAGGAAAGTGAGAAATCACTCTCTGGGGTGATGGCCACACCACACTCCCTTCTCCATTCTCCTCGTGGGATCTTAGGCATGCATGCACATACACCCACCATGATTTTCAAGCCACTGGGTCTGGGACTTGAATTGTGGCCTGTCATGTGGAAGTCCAGCTACATAACCACTACACCATCTATTGGCCCTCACCTAAAAAATTTTTTTGGAGAGGTTTTTGCTATAGGGTACGTGCACTCGCCAGAGTGACAGTGAGATAGAAAGCAAGAAATCACCCCCCAGGGGGGATGGCCACACTGCAATCCCTTCTCCTGCACTCTCCTCTCAGGATCTTGGGCATGCACACACACACACCTGGTGTGAGTTTAAGCCATCGGGTCCAGGACTCGAACTGCAGTCGACTACATGGGAGTCCAGTGACATAGCCATTACGTCAACTGCTGGTCCCCTCACCTAAAATTTTTAAAAGCACTAAAAGACACTTAACATACTGTGGGATCAAATTATTCTCATACTGAGTTTTTCATACAAATAAAAAGTGGACTAGTGAGGATAACATTTCAGTCAGGACTTTATTTCCCAAGTGGAATCTTGGGAAAGATATTCTAAACATAGTGTAAATCTTGAACAATTGGATAAATTATAGCACTCGTGTGTGTATTCAGAACCTTGAGAGAGGTGATAACCCAGATTACTGGAAAGGAAAAGAAAAACTAATGTGAACTTCAAGTAGTGGTGCATGGAGACAAGGTGGGATTAAGAATCCTTCCTGTGAGAGGGAAAGATGGTGTTTGGAGTGTTGGGATAGTTTTCATTTATACCTATTTGAGACCCTGCACAAGAGTCTTCCCCAGGCCCTTCTTCCCAAGTTACAGAGGCTGAATAGGGATGTGGTCAGGCCCTTCCCATTTTACAGAGACCGAATAGGGATGTGGTCAGGGCTTGTTGGGGAACAACATTCCACTGCCCTTACCCAGGGATAGATCCAACCCTTAGCATCTGGAGGGATTCTCAGTGCCCTTTGTGCGTGCTGTGTTCCCCCAGCTACCAGAAGGCAGTACAGATTCCCACCTCTCTCCCTGCAGTTGCATTTGGGAAAATTCTCAACCTACCAGACTCAACACCTTTTTCTTTTTTAAAAAAAGCAACTTTTTTTTTCTTTTTTTTTTGGAGAGGATTTTGCTATAGGGTGTGTGCACTCGCCAGAAAGACAGAGAGAGAGAGAGAGAGAGAGAGAGCGAGAAGTCACACCCCCCCCCAGGGGGGGATGGCCACGCTGCAATCCCTTCTCCTCCATTCTCCTCTCAGGATCTTGGGCACGCACGCACACACGCCTAGTGTGAGTTTAAGACACTAGGTCCAGGACTCAAACCTCGGTCGGCTACATGGGAGTCCAGTAACATAGCCATTACGCCAACTGCTGGTCCCAAAGCAACTCTTTTCTAATGTGTCCTTAACTACTTAGAAATGAAATTAATTGCTAATAAAACTTACCTAAGCAAGTAATAAATATGATGCCTTAACTTTAATATAAATATAACAATGTAAAGAAAAGTAACTTTTTATGGAGGGGGCAGATTGTTGCTATATAGCAGACGTGCTCATCAGAGAGACATAGACATAGAGAAAGTGAGAAATCACTCTTCAGGGGGGATGGCCACACCACAATCCTTTCTCCTCCATTGTCTCAGGATTTTGGCCAAGCACACATATACCTGGTATGAGTTTCAAACTATGGGGCCCAGTACTGGAACCACAGTTGGCCATGTGGGAGTCCAGTGCCTCAACCACTACACCACCTGCTGGTCCCAAAAGTAACTCTCTTTTTAAGATAGGGATTATCAGCTATTAATATTTTTTGAAGAGTTTTAAAATATTATTCATTATTACTATTCTTCAGTTTGACCAGGGAGACAGAGAGAGAGACAAAGTGAGAAAGCAAGCCACCAGGTCCAGAACTTGAACCATAGTTAGCCATGTGGCAGTCCAGCGCTTTAATCACCATAACATTTGCCAGCCCCTGAAAGTAACTATGTGTTTGGGGCCAGCCAGCAGCTAGTGGAATGGCTATCTCACACATAGTCGACTGCATTTTGAGTCCCGGACCCGGTTGCTTAAACTCACGCCAAGTGCATGTGCATGTGTGCCCAAGATCCCGAGAGGAGAATGGAGCAGAAGAGCTTGCGGTGTGGCCATCCCCCTGGGGGGTGATTTCTCGCTTTCTGTCTCTCTGTCTCTGGCGAGCACACACGCCCTATAGCAAAAACCTTTCAAAAATGAAGCTATGTTTCAGTTTACACTGCTTGGTCATGACCAAGGTCTACTGCAGAACACTCGGAGCAGCGTGGTGCCTGGGCCCACTGTTAGGTCACTGTGAAAGAATTAACAAATGAAGGCAAAGGGGGTAGCAGGTGGTATGGCCAGCAGGTGAAGTGGCCAGTGGGCAATTGCATGAGTCCCTTTCCAGAATCCCGAGAAGGAAACAGAGAAGGGATTGTGGCATGGCCAACCCCCCTGGAGATTGAGGTTTTTGTTTTGTTTTTTTGGTTGAGATAGTTTACCTCCAACAAAATTCACCATTTTAAAGTACACTTCATATAACCTGTGAGGCCATTTTTGTATGGCTTCTTACACTTGGTATAATTATTATGGCTCATCTATGTTCTTGCATGTATCATCAGTACTTCACTCTTATTTACGGCTGAAAAATACTCCATTGTAAGGACATGCCACATTTATAAAAGCCTATTAGCTGATAGACCTGATTATTATAAAGAAAACTGGCTCTCCATTTTCCATCGTCTGTTCACTTAAAATGAAGACTTCACTGCCTCCTATTCCTCGCTACCCCACCCTCCTGCTAAACCAAGGGAAAGGCCTAGACTGTATGAAAATGGCATTAAACAGACTACCCTTTTCCTCTAGGCAGATGGTCTTAACAGCCAGTTTCTATCCTTGAGGTCTGCTATACTGAAGACCATATAAACCAGTGTCCTTAGCCAGGAAGGGAATTCACTTTCTTTTTCTGGTCTCTTCTACCAGGGAAGTCAACCACAAGCATCAGTCACTCCACGTGGAGGGTGTCAGGTGCTCCCCACCCTGTTCCCAGCACAGAGCACCACTTCAGAGCTTGCATACCATCTGCGGCTTTTGTTGTTGTTTTGGAGAGGTTTTTGCTATAGGGCACATGTGCTCGCAAGAAAGACAGAGACAGAGAGACAGAAAGCAAGAAATCACCCCCCAGGGAGGATGGCCACACCACAGTCGCTTCTCCTCCATTCTCCTCTTGGGATCTTGGGTACACACGCACACGTATCTGGCGTCAGTTTAAGCCACCGGGTCTGGTATTCGAACCGCGATCGACTACATGGGAGTCCAGCAACATACCCATTAGGACAACTGCTGGTCCCAGCCTGCAGCCTTTTGTGAGTTGTACAATGGTCTTCACTTAGAAGCCCCACACTTCACCACTGTCAAATCTTGGTGCTGCCCTCTGGGTTAGCACAAACTGGGTACCCAGAAGAGGTCCTGTTTGCCAGACATTATTCTCCCTGAGGAGCTGGAGATTAGACATGGGTTCCTTCATTGCGGATACTGGTTGCTGCTTCAGTAGGTTTGGGTGAGGTGGGGGAGTAAGGTGTCTTGTTTTTAGGTTCCTTGGGTGATACTAACATGCAGTAGGAGCTAAGAGCACCTCCAACAGGGGCCTGATGCCGTGATCCACCGCAAGCCTCAGCCTGCCCTGGCTTATGGGTGCACACCTGCCTGATGTGCTCCGAGAGGTCTCCAGATGTGAATCTGGAACCTTCTCATGTGAGTGGATGTCATACAGCATCATGTTTTACTGCCACACATCTGTCCAGCCCTGACATAACTTTAGCTTAAAAGGTAAGAAACTTGGTATTCCTG